CCCAATCCACTTTCCAAAAATGTATCACCCGCGGTCGTGACCGCAGACCATTTGACCGCACGCGGTCAGCATCCTGACCGCAGCGGGCGACTTCTCACGGCCAAGTGCGGTCGGAAAACCCCGACATTTTTAAATCCTTGGATAATAGGCAAAAAAAAACATTAAAAAATGGGGTTGTAAGTTTTTGTGCGCTCTACAACCATATATTTTTAGTTTTATTTTTTGACTTCCTTTTTTATTTAAAAACAAATGACAAACATAAATCCCTCAAGCAAAAGTTCTTCACTTCATTCTTTTAGTAAGAAAAATAAAGGATTTTGTTTCTTTTTTATCTCAAATTTGGTAACGAATTTTGATATGACCCCAAGGCAAAAGTTGTTCAGTTTATTTTTTTGCATAACATATATTTTGTTCATTTCAGAATTTTTTGAATTTTTTTTTTTCTTTTTTTTTTTTCATGAACGAGGTCTCGCGGCCGAGACCGCGGTCCACGGTCGTGCTCGCGACGACCGCGACCTTGGGGCATTCATAGTCCAAAACCCCTCCCCTCCCCCCCACTGGCCACCATGCGGCCGCAAAGTCGCGTGGCTGCGCAGCCTGGCCACCGACGGCGGCCTCCACGGGAGATTCATAGTTGGGGCAAGATTGGATCAATATACAGCTTGACATTTTTGATCGCCTATTATTCTAGTTTTTTTAAATCACGGGGTTTTTTGGCCGCGGTTGGTCCCCGCGGGCATGACCATGACCGCATGCGGTAAAATGGCCCGCGGTCATGACCGCGGGTGATACGTAGGCTATTACCGCGGCCCCTGAGTCGATAATACCATTTCATGGATTTCCCCAAACTCCTATATCGCATTCCGCCGACTTCCACGGAATGGCCTTAATGCGCAGAAAATGATCATCTTTTCGGATTAGTCCTAACCGTTTCGGGTCCGAGGTGTTGGGGGCATCAGGCTTGTCTTCACATGTGGAGGATTTCTCTTTGATGACTGCTTACTAAGCAAGGGCAAACAGTTTCCGGTTCGCCTTACAATGCTGCAGTATTCGTTCATTCGCCTATTCTGAGACGGACAATAGGTGTCCAATGGGCAAGGGGATTCAATGGTCTAGGGCTCGGACGATGTTCAGGACATCAATTTCTCCCGTAACAAAGGCAGGGCCGCCCGATTCCATTTCTCCGGGTGATGGTCTCCATTCCATTATTTCACGTTGCATGTTTCCTGGGTAGATGGTTCTGATCATTCTCAATCCCGAGTAACCCAGTGAGATGTATTGATCGAGCGGGATAAGTTCCACAACTTCCTCGGTGGTAACTATCGCACCCCCCCCTCCTTCTATCTCCTCCACGATCGTGCCCATCCTTCCTGTTCAGTTGGCCACTGGTGTTGCTGCCACAGGGGCTGCTCCCACCCGGACTTGCGTCGGACGGTTGGGGCAGCCTCGGGCTAGGTGGCCGGGCTGATGACACGTGTAACAAACGCCTAGATTGGCTGCCGCACCGCCTATAGCTTGAGCGGGGGCTGCTTCTTGTGCTATAGGCGCAACTCGGATGACAATAGGGCACATCGATCTCATTAGAGATTCTATATGGGCATTATGCCCACGCTGTCCTTTCTTGCTTTCTTGCATGATCTGGCTAACTAGCGTTCGAGTTAGTTGCAGTATAGCATTTGATTCGCTTGGTTTCGTAGAGGTACCTGGGGGAGGCGTAGGTGTGACCGTCACGGGCAGTCTCGTGGTTGTGTCCGACATCGATCTCTTAGCTACAACATAAGTGACAGGGCCAGAGACGAAACCCATGTTTTTAAATTTGTTTTGAAGCACGGCTAACT